TATCGGCCAATATATCGGCCTTGGCGATATATCGGTCGACCACTAACTTAACTATTATATTTTATGAGATTAATTGAAAGGGGGGGGAGAAAATCGGCCAAAAAATTAGCATCATATATCGGCCATCTGCTGCCCTGATTTCTAAATATCGTCATCGACCAGAGGAAAACCCCATATCAGTCGACCTCTACTAAAAATCAGTCCAAATACAACTGCATAGCAACACAAACAGCTTTGTGGTGGTGAATTTTGCATGTGGAAGCATCACGCACACCTTCATAAAACAGTGTAAAAATAATACTACTTAAATATCTAAACAGCTCATAACACTTTCTTTTACCATTTCAATCTTATTCATGACTGATATTCTGTTGATTGGGATTCATCCATTTAAACAAAGTATGTTTAACAGAGTGACACCCACAGCATGTCTGTGATATCAGAGGTCAGAGGGTCATGTGTAGACGAGGTGGAAGGACAGTCACACCTGGACTGAAGATCTCCTCTGGTGATGACATGCAGATGACAGGGGACAAGCACTGCAGGGTTCAGGGAAGTTTCACAGTGATTAAAGTCTCTATCTGTCTCTCTTACAGCTGCTGTGTGCATGTCAGAAAGCAGATCTCAGGACACAGCTGGCCAGCCCTAGTCTGACCCTGTCTGCTCACACAACACATACAATACATGTATGAAACACACAGAAACAGCTTTTACAACTAAAGACAATTCACATTCACTCTAGAGTGAAGAGGATATCCTTGTGCAAAACAATTGTTGCTTTCGGCCCCTTCAGCTCTATGAGGTAGCTCAAATGGTTTTACATTTAACCTACATATGAAAGCACAACATAACAGTCATTACATACAAATTACTCTGCTCATAACTCCATTTACTCATAGGTAGGCCTGAAGCAAATCAACAGCTGCAGAATTCCGTAGAAGCCCATGCCGATTTCCATCATTCACTGAAGGATTTTGAGATCTAATCATCCGCTACCTCTCATTTTTTCATTTTGAAAGATTGGAACATCTCTTTGAATTGAATACAACAGTCAAAATGTCACAGCTGCCTCCTTTATATAGAGCAGGTGTAGCATTATGATATTATTCAACTATATCTCAAATAAGAG